GTCCGCCTATTAGTTTTGCAAGACCCCATAGCATGGCTATTGGGGAAAAATATATATAATATTTACAGTACACAGTATATATGACAAGGAGCTTGGTTGTTTAAGTTGCTCCCGCTTTGACGCTTGGACGGTGGACATGCATGTGCACATACTGTGTACCGATATACACGTGACGCTGCACGACTGGACTTGGAGTCGATGGTGTATCGATGCAACTTTCTGCCTGCCCTGTTGGTCAACAATGGGTACCTAATAGGCTGCAATAACTATTTGTAAATACCTATGCAATATGGGGTCCTAATTTTTGCTCCACAGAAGGCATTGAGCGAGTATAGAGATCTATTATTTGAAACATCATGTCAATGCTGCAGGGAGGAAGACTATTTGCAAAGGATGAATTGCTATTCCAGAGGCACACTCAAAAAAGGAGGCTGCTGCCAATGAAAAGGCACTTGTAGTGGAGGCTCATACAGGGTGAAGCTGGCATGAAAGGAAGAATGCATCAAGGGTTGCATGTTTAAAGTTTAAAGAACACTTGTATACTTCACAGACTGCATTTTGTGAGGATGAGATCTGGAGAAAAGGATTGAACTTTTGTCGTTCCTGCTTTGTATGTAACAAACATGTGGAATGAGCTTTCATAGAGGAATATATTTTGCAAACAACAATAACAGAGAACAGTGGTAAGAGAAGGCAACAAGAGCATCTCAATGACAAGACTTGGGAACGGAATAAATCTACTGTACTCCAACCCCTTCTTGGCCAACAAAAACTCTTATAAACGATACGTTCTTTTAAGAAGGCATTTTGCATGAGAAAGAAAAAACATGTCAGTAATGAGTACTGGGGCATTGTTTGGATTCCTTATCTACCACCTGGTAGCTGACAGTGTGTGAAACCAAATCTCAAAATCCTCTCGACATAAAAGGCGTGCCCACTCCTCAAGAAACGTGAAATTGTAACTCCCTGTAGGTGGCAAGAGATTGTGATTGTGAGTTCAGGTGCTTAGGAGTTCTTGCTATCCCAAAATGGTTAAGAACTACGTACAAGTTCAAGGCTTCTCTCCAACTCTCCTGTGCCTTCTTAGCTGTTTGTTAGTTCTTAGATCCCAAATCCTTTAGAACATTGTCAAAAAGAAACATCCAGGCCAACAAGCAAAGCGCCTAAGTACCTGAAACAAGTAGGAGTCTTCACAACTCTGACTCTTCTCTGCAAATAATCCAAACATAACTTAGATATACATATCTGGTACCCTCACAACAAAAATCAGCCCTTCAACCTAGAAAACACTGCAAACACAATACAAAGCTGAATCCCAGGTCCCGGGGGGTACGGTAGTGGGTACGGTATAGATATATTTTTACATATTTACATATACATTCGTAGCTTTTTAAAGCACATGCAGTGGGTCTTTCAAACTCACACCCCAAACACGCGCACGCACACCTGACAGGTTAAAGACTGGATCTGGATTGAAAAACGGTTCAGTGATGTTCAAACAGGTTGCGAAACCCAAACCTAAGGGTGGGGCTGATGGTCTGAACAAGTCTCAACTCAGGTCTTGCAAGTCGATAATGGGCGGGGCACCGAAGCCAAAGCAACTTGCTACTAGAAGCTTCTTGTTACTAGTTGTAATGCACTTGTTACTAGTAGCGATGCACTTGTTAGGGTCCTTTCGCACAGACTAGCGGCTATCTTCCTGTCTTCCTGGCTGTGCACCTTGCAAGTGGACGATCCTGAACTGATCCAACTGAGCTCGCTAAACCAGTCCAGGCGCAAGAGTCGTGTGCTGCACGATTCATGGTGTCATGTTCTTATCTGTGACTTAGACCATCTGGAGCCCAAACGAAACTCGCAGCGCATGACTCAAACGCACTGCAGGCAAAACAAACCGATGGCCGGACGGCCCCGTGGTCCCAGCATCTTTCCGCTGGTTCACGGCCCGTCGGCTGAGCCTGCAGAGGGCACGACAAAAGCGGCCGCGCATCTTTGAAAGGGAAGGGGAAGCAGCAGCTCTTGCACAAACTCGACCTGGTGGAACGTCCGTACATTTCTGAGTCATGCAGAAGCCGGCACCTGAAAAATATCACTGGTTCCGCCCTTCACCCGAGGCTGTGACCACTTCCCACCAATTAATTAGAATCAGAACACCCTGAAAGGCAACACGGAAGCGAAACGGACCAGAGCGTGAGCCATGTGTTTTATTCTTGCACCAGTATGTTGCATGGCTACCCAAACAAGCCAAGAAGGAATTCAGAAGCACCCCGGCAGCTGGCGAATGTCGACCATCCTTCGTCCAGGTCCTTCGTGGCAGAACTTCATCAACTCGAGTGCAGAACAGCATGCAATGTTAGAACTTCATCCCTGAACTGAACGATTTTAAAGATCAAGGGAGCCTACTCTCTTGGAGATCCTGATGGTGCGAAGCACGGAGATGCACACGGGTTTGGGGTGTTTAAACATAATATCATTCCGATGCCAACCAATTCCGAAAGAAAAGGTGCCAGAAAGATGCCAAGCAGTACAAGTTGAGCCACCTTATGCCGAGCTTGAGCCCTACAGGAAAGACCACACCAGCTTGAACGAAGGCCAATTCGGCCCACAAGTTTGGTCGAAACTCTACGCTCTGTACGAAAACAGGCTGTGCCCGTTGGGTCTTTCTACACTGCGAGGCGGAACGGAAACCAAGGCAGAAGCTGCAGTAGAGACATGTAGAGACGAAAAGGACATGTAGAAGCAGGATGAACCAGGTGTGAATTCAATTGCACTCCTGTAAGTTGGACATGGGAAAATTCTGTGCAATAATTCCCACAATTCGAACTGTTCCGCCTGAAACATTTGGGCGTTGCTTGAAACGCTGCTGCAACGCCACGTTCGACGGGCAGGCTGAGTGGAGCTGTGAAAGATTCTTGGTGGATGGCATGGGTGGAGGCTTTGGTGGTGAATGGGGTGCACGGAAATGGAGATAGAGACGGTCCAAGAGTCCAAGACAAAGGACATGGAAGTGGAAAACACTCTAGCCATTTGGCAAAGGAATCAATGAAATTCTAAGTCTCATAGTCTCCACTTTCGTCATAGTCTCTTGGGAGTGCAGGAGTCTTTACTGGACACGCTGCTTATGAACTGCATCTGGCAAAAGAAATTGGGCTCCAGCTTGGATTGACCCCAAAGCTGGCTCAACCTCCTGACAACTCACCAAAACAAAAGACTACAATGTCAAGGTCCTTTGGCTGGTCGTCTTGAACATGTCGCAGCTATTTGACATCTGACCAGCATTGGATCCAAATGTCTGGTGTGAGATCCAATGAAACAAGGAAGAAGTGGTGGTCTTGATTCTTGATTCACCCATATTCATTGTGAAACCTTTGCTGGGTGATTAGCTCTGGCTGGGGTGTTGGCTCGCTGAGTTGCTGGCTTCAGCAGTCCGCCGTCACGGCGGGCGTCGACGTTTCGACCTCGTCGTCTCGGCGGCCTGTGGTGTCTGTCACAGCTCCAGCCAATCGAGCCACTCTGATTTCACACGGCCGCTGAGGCTCTCCAAAGGCTCGTCCGCCTCACTGGCGCGAGGCGGAAAAAGAGAGACGTTTTTGGGCGTCGGCCCAAAACGAGTGACGTGGTGGATGTGGGCAGCCCCTCTGGAAAACAAACTCAATGGGTGGAGGTGGTCAGACTGAAATGATATGATATGATATCGGATTATACACATATATATATATATTTAATAGATTTTAATAGGATCACCCTGCAAAAACCAAGTCCTTTACCTCAATGAGTAGCGTTTTTGTATGACCATCTCCAGTAAAATGGGGTCTTTGACATGTAGGGTCATAAATCATAAAATATATTAATATGAATTTGAATATAGGAAAAAAGTAAACATGCATATTACACTTGGTCTTGCTTCCCTTCCCTATGTGGAAGGAGTTTTAGAACTTTAGAAGCCATCTGCTGAAGAAGGCAACACCTTTTTTGACTAACAGTAGGGGTCACAAAAGGATTGATCTTGGATGTATTTGCCTCATTTTGCCTCCCATGTTGACACTCCCTCAAGGCGCACCGCACGCATCCACACGCCAAATAAAGGCGCACCGCGCGCATCCACACGCCAAATAAAGGCCGCTGGCCTGGACCCAGCCATTCTTCTCCGACTTGGGATTGACCAGCAAATGTTGTCCGGGCTTCACTTCCTAGGCATTCAACCATCGGCCGGCGCGTCTCTGGTATCCGCTCGTCGGGAACACATTCAACCAGCGGCCAAGCGGAAAAAAACACGCGGGTTCGGGAAGACCTTCGACCTTCTCATGCGCACCTCCGGGACTCAACAGCTACAGGTGCCAACAGGATCCACGGCGATCGGTATCTCCCCCCTTCTCTGGAGAGTACGCCAGGCCAGCTCCAGGTGCCGTCTCAACGAGGGGCCCGGGTAAGTCTTGGGAGCTCATGCTCCAACAGGGAGTGGTGTGAAACTAGCATCCTCATCGGCTTCCACTCTTACTTGCTCGGCCCTTCCCATATCGCCCTCCGTGTGGCGGACTCACATCTGATCTCCCACTCTATCCCTCTCACCTGGGAGTGGGACCTCACAAGAAGGGGTATATAATATATAAAAGGACTCCCACAAGCATGTGCCTGAAAAAGGTGGCAAAATGCAGTGATTCACGGCAATTCTATACCCTAAACGCATCCCTAACAGCAGCGTCTGAAACCCTCTGCTGGCGTTGTGCTCAATGCGTTTAGAAGTATACATAATTATACATACATGTATAAGTCAAACGGCCCAATTTGACGGCCTGCATTCTATGTCACCAGCCACCCGACGTGGATTAACGGCGCTCGGCGCTCGAAGCGCGTCATGAAACACCGAAGGCTCAAGCTGGTCTGGTAGCTGAATGAAGGCCGGGCTCTGTCGGACCTGACGGCGACGTTGTCGAAAACTTCCACCTGTTCGGCGGATGCATGTTTTGTCCGGATCCGCGGATCGATCTCGAAGCAAAAAGGGCCATGCGGTTCGCGTACCTGTAAAAACGGGTGCCCGCTTCTCTTTTGAGACTCTATCTGAATAGAACCATCTGGCGAGGGGGGAAGGGTATGGAAGGGTGTGGAGGTGAAATGTCAGATTTGGTCCAGGTCCGGCAGGAAAGGGAAGGGCTAAGCGGCTTGCTATGTTTATTCATGTTTATTCCAGCTTCGGGCCCAATCCCCTTACAGTGGTGAAGCGTAGTCGGCAAAGCGATTGGGTGAGGGTTCCATGGAGAAAGCCATCTTCGGTACGCCTCCGGCGGCCGTTGATGATAGCTGGTCCGGCGTGGCCTCTTTTCGATCCACGCTGACCGGCGATGGGGCTTTTTGGGTCACTCTGCTGCTTCCTTGGGAGATGGAAGCTTTGGTGGCGGATTGCGGTCTTATCCCCACCGGTTGCACTAAGGTGACTCTCTATGATTGGAAGGTGTCTTGCATGGACCCCCTCATTTTGTCGGCCACCGCTTCGAGTCAGGCCTATCCATGCTCCGCTATGCCTAGGACATTTGGCGAGAACATCATTGAGCTCGCTGCTGGCAGCGGAGCTATGGGATTGGGTGCTCTCTTCATGGGAGCACGGATTAGGGTTTGCATTGAAAGCTGCAACTATGCCGTGGAGCATTTGAAGCACAATGAACACGGCTTCATCATCCATGATGACATCGGCTCCTTGGCAGCGATCAGATCGGCTCATGAAGTGCTCAATGGCCTTCCTACGACAGGCTTCTTCGGATTCCCGTGTCAGCCCTACAGCATGCAGGGTCGTCAACTGGGTGAGCAAGATGTTCGATTTGACACATTGCTTGGAGGACTGAAGGCCACATGGTATCTTCAGTTGCAGTCGCTCATTGTGGAGTGCGTTCCTATGGCCTGCACTACAGTTGCAGTTCAGGAGGCACTAGAATTGGTCTGCGGGGCCATGGGTTGGGAGAAGATTGATTTGATGCTCGACCTAAAGCTGCAGTGGCCGATGCGCCGGGCACGCTGGTGGGGCATCCTTGCCCCACCTATCTGGCTTGCAGGACCTTTTCATGGTTGGGCTACAGATCCACGCTTCCCTACGACAGGAGCACTTCTCAAGAGTTGGCCTGCATGGGCGATTGACGATGAAGATGACTTGTGCCTGACCCAAGACGAATACTTTATCTTCCAGGACGCCGCATATGGCACTGACCAACGCTGGTACGGGATGCAGCATCAACTTCCCACAATCCTGCATAGCTATGGATCGTGGTTCGGGCCATGCCCTTGCGGATGCCGACGACAAGCCATGTCCGCTGAGGCGTTGAAGCAAAAGGGCATTCGCGGTTACTATGTGACTTCTTCATTGACAGGACAGCCTCGACTGCTCCACCCACACGAGCTTGCATTCATGCTCGGCATTCCAAGCTCCATGAAGTTCCATACCTCTCCACGGGACACCCTGCCATTACTCGGCAATGTGGCCTCGCCAATGCAGGCTGTGTGGGCCTATGCCATGCTTGTCAGATCGGTCAGCAGAGCCATTCCAGACATTTTCGCGATTGACCCAGCGCAGGTCCTTGACAGTTTCAAGCGTGAGCTCATTCGACAGTTCTATGGAGCCCATCATCTCGACGTACCACTCACAAGCCTTTGCATTGTGGCTGAGGATGGAGCTGAATTGACCCTGTTTGCAGCTGGGACTAATCTTGCAGCTGATCTTCTGCATGCAGAGAAGCTTCAACTACACCCAGAAGCTAGCTGTGCCCTCTTTGAAGATGACCGTCAACTTTCCATGTTTGAGCGGTTTCCTGCGATTCCTAATGGGAGATGCTATCGCCTGCGAGTTGAAGGTCCTTACTCCAAAGTTTGCCATGACGAGATGATCGTCATCTCCCTCCAGCAAGGCCAAGAGCATTGGGTTGAGCTGCAACGTGCAGGCCAATTTCTTTTTCAAGCATTGGAATCCAAGCCATTCGAGACCACATACCTCTTTGTTGACAGCACGGGACGTCTCTTTTCACGTGATGCAAGAATCTGGCAGTCCCTTCGACTTCGCCCACTGGGGCCACACTCGTTCCCTACTTTGAGGACTACCACCACACTCGAGGCATGTGGCCATGATGGACTTCATTCCTTTGCTGCGCCCCCTTCACTGGGCTCCGCCAACGGTCCTGGATTTCCTGTCGCAGCTGCTGCGGTGCCTGGACTTGGCGCCCGCCTCATTTGGCAAGTCATGCAGTCTCTCACCCAGCACCTCAATGCTCAAAAAGGGATGGAACCGTTGCTTCTCTCACCTGAAGTTGCTGCGCAACTCCTTGACGTTTCCCAGGCTCCACATAGCCTTGGACTTGCACCTGGTATGGCATCTGGCATCCAGGAATGCTTCTGCATCTTTGCTGCAGAGGGGCATTGGGCTCTTCTATGGGGGCGCCGACATGGGCATGATCTGCATTGGACTTACCTTGACCCTCTCTCCGATGGACTTCGAACCTCAGCCTTGATTTTGGCTACCCGTCTCACTGGACTTTTAGGTGGTCGGGTTGACTCTTTTCAGTACTCCACGCTGTACGTACAACGGGACTCATTTTCTTGTGGCACACTTGCACTTCTGCATATGGCTGCCGCTCTTGGACTTCCAGGGTTGCTCATGCCCAATGCGGTCAAGGCCCTGCACCTTTGGCTGCTTCGTCACTCGGGCTCTGAAACCTTTCGGGCCAAGGGACCTGCAGACGCCTCTGCCCTTCAGCAGTTGGCTGAGTTCCTGGTCAAGCATGGAGTTTTCCCTCAGGCGGCATCAGAACGTGCTCAGCTTGTGGCAAACAAAGTCGGCATGACTGCCATCCAACAAGCCTTGAACAGTCGCAATCCCTGGGCAGCCCTCAAAGACAAGGCATCACAGCCAGGCACCTCCATCCGCCTTGTTACTCATGAGGAGTTGGAAGCACAAATTGCGGCCCGTGCGAAATCCAAGCATGGAGCTCATGTTCCGAGGGCCAAGGACAAGAAGAGCCGGACGGTAGCACCTCGCATCTCTGCTGAGCAACTTGATGTCACTATGCTCCAACTTGACAAATCACATTTCAAGGATGAGGATGGTGACGACATCCCGCAGATTCAATTCAATGAAGTACGCTCCAATGGACGGGGCATTGCCATCTGCACTCAGGCAGACGCTCGGGCTTTCATTGCGGACCCTAAGAGCATCAGCACCGATGCATTGGCACTTCTCGTGCTTCCACCACTACCTTCCGAAGCTTTGGCCTCAGCCAAGATCATCTCTATGAGATTCCCTGCCGTTTATGGTGTGCATAAAGAGCCTATGCTGATCCAAAGCACTATGGTTTGCCTGGGAGACATCGACATTCATCGGCACTATGGAGCTTCAGACACCAAGCTGGCAGACATCTGTTTTCAAGGTGGTCATCTATAGAGATGAGCTTGAATCAGCTTGGGATCTCTTCATTAAGCATCCAGTGCGACATCTCACTGAGCTACTGCCAGCTCTTCAACTTTGTCGCGGTCGCAAGTGCGGCACAGACTGCCCAAAGTTCCATCCGCCTCTCGATGAGGAGATTGACGGTGCCATCCAAGAAGTTTGGGCCAGAAAATTCCTTTCCGAGTCCGGAAAGATTGCGAATCCTACGGATGCATGCATCTACCAGCTCTATCTCAGAGTGGCAGCTCTTACTGCAAATCAGGTCCTTGAATCTTCGATAGCCGGGGTCTACATTGAGCCTCGCAAAGCAGATCTCTCCGGCACGGATCCAAAGTTTGCAGTGGTATGGCTTCCCAAGTCTGACAGGATTGCCGCCATTCGTGCACTCAAGTCCTTTGATGGAGCTCAAGCACTGGTCAGGGTCAAAGACAGATATGGAATTCGAGTTCAAGCGGCACACGCTGCCGCGGCATCCAAAGAGCTTCGACCAGACATTCCTTTCGTCGATGTACAAGTCTCCAAAGTGTTCCGGCTTCACCCCATACCCCATGGAGTACAGAGAAACACACTCCTTAAACTCTTCAAGGATTGGGGATGGACTGCCAAACCTATGCAACCTACTAAGGGATCAGCTTCGGGCTCAGCATGGGAGGTTGGTGCTGACAAGCCACCACCAAAGCCGATCATGCCTGGATTTGGAGGAGATGTGCTCATCAGTGAAGTCCGAGATCGCACTACTTCCACGGCAGCGCCTCCATCGGTCATCTCATTGTGCCATCCTCGCAAGCTTGCGCCTGCGAAACAGTCTCCTGCAGATCCCTGGCTCCAGGCTTCCAATGATCCATGGAAGAGATGGTCTGCTCCTTCGTCCTCACATGTCACCCCGGGCGCCTCCAGCACCAAACATCTGCAAGAGATGGAGACTCGGCTTCAGGCCTCATTGAAGGATACTGTGCAAGCACACCTCGAAGAACACGCCCAAGATGCCACCATGGCTAGTGATACAACTCTCCTTGCATTCCAGCAGGAAGCCGACATGCGATTTCGGAAACTTGAAGCTGGGGTATCCGAGCTCACCGCACAAGGCCAGCAATTCAGATCCTGGTTCAACGATGTCCACAAGGGGATGGAGAACATGGGCTCGCAAATCACCGGGCTTCAAAAGACAACCGAGCACCTTGGCACGACACTTACGTCCTCGGTTGCCTCTTCAGTCAATGAAGCCTTTGATGCCCGCTTCAATCAGTTGGAGGCCATGCTTGCCAAACGAACTCGTCATGAGTGACTATGGCCACCCGGGCCTGGCGCACATGGCCAGGTGCCGGACTTCTTGCTGACCTCTACGGTGTGGCCCTATTTGGTCCTTCTGCTGGCTCTTGGGTGTGGAGTTTTGCAGTGCTCTATGTGGCTACTTTTCTTGCTTTTCCTTCGCCTACCTTGGACAGTGGCGTCGGGCTTTGTTCCTTGGGGTGCCTACACGGCCATCACTTTTG